CCAATTCAATTGGCTAGCAGTAGCATTAGCTAGTTTGAAGATACCGGTTGCATGAACTAAAAAAACACTCGCATCGTCAGCGAATAACCCATTTAAAAAGTTTAGTAGATACTACCACACCTCTAATGTGAAAACTAGCATACATTTTGCAGGTCGCTGTCGTGTGTGACTTTGTGCCGCTTTCTCCAAACCCTACCACCCCAGCCACGAAGCTGCCATTAACAGTTAACTACATATATATTCTCGAATGAACAACTAGAAACCTTTTAATTTCGGCCGCTGCTTTGTTACTCCTACACCACTTGGCGTTTACAATTCTGCGTGCATGTACTCCAGGGAGGAAGTAATTATAGAAGCCTTAATTTCACTACGTGATTAGAAACGTTGTCGGGTTTGTTGAATAATCAAGCCGCGCGCGCGGCAACTATTGATCGGCTTCTGATCAACCAAGGGTGTGTTTAGGCATCGTTCGTTCTGGGGAGATAGGGGAGGTTGAGTCTCGTTTTTCGCACGCACGCTTTTCAAACTATTAAACGGTGTGTGTTTTGTAAAAAAAATTTATAGGAAAATTGCTTTAAAAAATCATATTAATCCATTTTTGAAATTTAAAATAGTTAATACTCAATTAATCATGAGCTAATGGCTCACCTCGTTTTGCGTATCTTCCCAATCTACTCAATCCCCTTCTTTTCAAACACATCCTTTAGTTCACGTCAAAATTAAAAGTTTAGTTGAAATTGAAACGATGTGATTGTAAAGTTGAAAGTTTATGTGTTTATGAAAGTTTTGATGTGATGAAAAAGTTAAAAGTTTGAAGAAAAAGTTTGAAACTAAAAAAAGGCCCAATTAATCGAGAGCTCTGCCAGCCTAGGGCACAAACACTTGCGCTGTCATGGTGTGCCCTAGCCTACACCCTGCTACTGTAGGCTAGGGCGGCAGTGACTGGTCCACCAGTAGACGTCTTTGTCCATGTGACAGCTGTCTTGAGGTTTGCCACATAAGATTTCGTGGCGACGCTGAAGAGAGGGGGAGGAACTAGAAAGAATGGAGAGGTTGCATGTGTTTGCTTAATTTGCACGTTGCATGCTCTGCTCTTTGCAAACAATTTTCACGATGTTGTTCGAGATAGGTTATTGCCTATTTGCATTTTTTTTACCTACATTGTAATCTTAAAAGAGTTTATGTAATAAGACGATAAAATGAAGTAAAAAAACAAGTAAGCGTACTCTGCATTATTTTTCGATGAGTTACGCGAGGTCTCGATAATAAGGAAGGAAATCCGAAAGAGATGGGCAATGATATTAATACAATAACTTTTGTGACCGATAGCGAGTACGAAGATATAATTGAGACAGAATTAGTGATTGGCCGCAAAAGTTGCGTGCGTTGTCGGGAATAGCTCGATAGATTAGGGGAATTAATGAATAAAACAAAAGCATAGTACTACATGAAAAATTAGTACGGTGCAGTATTTCGTTCCATGCACGGTAGATAATTTATCCCAATATATCATTTTAGATACTGAAGTGCCAATATACCTATTGCTTGGTATTGTAAATGTCATGGAGCCCCATGATGAAGAGAAAGAAAAAAAAAGTCCATTTTACTACTTCCTCAAACTATTTTACTATAGCTTTTAATCCCCCTAAACTATTTTTTAGCTTATTTTACACCTTGAACTATTGAATATTTTTTTTATTTTTCTATCTGTATAAGTTGTATTTTGCGTTGGAATTGAGTAGGATGATGATAGGTGTATATATTACAACTTTATGTCTCATCATTTTTTTAGAATGTCATCACTGTTTACCTAGGTTAGGAGCACCTAGGATTGATTCAAATATAGAGATTATAAGGTTCAAATAAATAGCCATGAAAAATTGAACACATTTTTAGAATTTTGACAAAAGTATCATCTTCAAAATAATCAATTAAAATATAGCTTATATGAAGAGAGAAAAGAAAAGATAAATATTATTAGGGAGTAGACCGAACTATTTTCAATAGCCCACGGTGTAAAATGAGTAAAAAAGTAATAATTCAGAGGGTTAAATAATCCAATAAAAAATAGTTTGAGTGAGTGAAATATATATTTCTTCTGGTGAAAATAAGAATCCATGGAAATTAATTAATCCAAACTATCGGAGAGAAGCCCTAACTAAGCATATACCACACATGCAGAGTCTTCTACCAAGACATTCCTCCATATGAATCAAAAATACATGCAAAAAATACGTATACATACAACTAGCAAGTACAGCAAAATTTTCACATGAAAAGATAACAGTGCCGAAACCCCTGGAACATACTCCTACATGCGCTGGACCGCTGAGATTAAACGGAATCTTTTCGTGCAAATTGTGGCCAATAGACCACCACATAGCCCCAACACAGGCTGCCCATCACATCGGATGTCCCCTGGGGCCCGGCCGCAGGGTGAGCGAGTGACTGACAGGGTCATTTTGTTTGCATTTGTGCGCGCGAGCTGTTCATTTTCGGTGGCGCCGGATCGGACGTAAAGCGCCCTTGCCTGTGGATTCCATCCCGTTGGATAATCCGGATTCCCTGTCATAGGACAGTTACCCGACAGGTCGGCATGGACTGATCTACTATTGGCTATCAGACGCTTGTTCATTGCCTTGGATCTGGTGTGGATTTAGGTGGTGTTTGAATAAATGGACTAATGATAAAATCCATCCTATAATTAATCTCTATTGAGCCTAATTAATTCATAATTAGCCTATGTGATGCTACAGTAAACATGTGCTAATTATGAATTATTTATGCTTAAAAAATTTCTCTCACGAATTAGCTCTCATTTATACAATTAGTTTTATTATTAGCTTATGTTTAATATTTCTAATTAGTGTCCAAACATCGCCTTACTACCGACTCCGGTGTAGAGTTTTCTTGTGTGTACTGCATCCAATGTACTGATATGTAATGAAGCGAATTGTATAAACTCGAAGGAAAAGTTGATTCATACAATAAACTCGAAGGAGTATTATTAGCCAAAAAATCATTTGTGAGTGAAAACTTTTATATACGGTTTCTTAGCGACCCAAAAATAAACGTTGTAAAATAAATTACAATGAAAGTAAATAAATAAATTAAAATAAAGTTCTAAAATTTAAGTTTTGGCCTATATGAATAAGCACAAACGAAATAATGAGGCCCTAATTCATACTTCCCTCCAATAACAAATATATGATGTTCAACTTTTACTTACTTAGAAATATATTGGTACACATATATATGTATTTAAAAGATATTTTTATAACATTATAATTTTATCAGATTTTACAAAGTTTTAAAATAAAAAATTATAATCAAGGTTACACCACGAATACCGAAAGAAAAGTGAAGCAACATATATTTGTGACGGGAGAAAGCATATCGTTAATTTTTGACATGTTCTGCAACACAAGTAGGGGTGTATGTGGAGCGAGTTGTGGCTAGATGTCCCTCGTCCATATTATCCACCATGAGCGTCGGAGATGCTACAAAACCACTCTCGATTGACTGCTAGGTTATTTGTGGGTTTCAAACCCGCAAACCCATCAACCAGGATTGATGTCCGATGTGGAAGACTAAGCCACAATTCAGTAATTGCATTGAAAAAGCTGTTCAAATTGTGCTTCGCACACATCATGTGCTCTTGTGAACAAAAATGATTGTGTGAATTGCACATCGCTTCTCTTCTCTCCAAGGGATTTCAAGAGAAAGGACATCATTTCCTCACCTCACACCGGGAAGCCCTGTTTTCTTTGGTGGTGGCAAGTGTTCGATGGAGTTTTTGCCGCCTTGGTGAGATTTTATCCCCAAAATCCACTTGAATACATTCTTTATCATTGAGACATTCTATTTTTTTGTTTGGTCTTGCAGACAGAGGTGGTGTAAAATAACATGGCATGATCTTCTTACTCTATGACATGCTTGGTTAGGACTTTTGTATTCTCTATGGCCTAGAACTACTCGAGCGAGACCATTTTGCATCGTATTGTGTCCCAACTAGAGAGAGAAGTCCTTCAACAGGCAGGTTAGAGTCGTGCAATAGACACATGGAATGGTGCCATTGCTATTTCTTGGCTACCATGGCCACCACCGCCATGGCCAACCATGTTCTTCCCCTCCACAAGCAACTAGTACGGAATAGCAGCTGAGGGGCGATGGGGGTTAGTCATTCCATCATCTCTCAATAGCAATCAAGATACCCGTTACTTCTCCTCGTCTAGGATGATGTGTTTTCCTTGTCTGGAGCAATAAGGTGCGAGGTATGGCATCACTTGGTTGATGCAGTTTGCTGCAATGAACTAAGTGGGTTTATATAAGCGGGCTGGTAGGTTAGTGAGCTAGCACAAACTAGTCCGGTAGGTTCCTGGCATGACTCGTGCCACTTACACCCCACACGTACAAAGCTAAATTAAATCCGCATATTGAGGGGAAAATCCAACGAAATACACAACTGAAATTGTTTCTTATTCTTTCATATGCAACAAATACTTTTAGTTGTTTAAAGAGGTATCCACTATTAGCTCTTCTTTCCAATAACCGAATTCCTCCGAGTTGTATAGGGATTAAATTTGTCCGCGTGAAAATCCTATAAAGTTTAGAGATTCCAAAGGAGGCCTTTAGATGTTTTGAGAATCAAAAGGGAAACTTCTTCCTTCTATTCACCTGTTCCATGGAATTCTAATCCAATCACTTGATCTTTTTTGACAAACTTTGAGTTAAATAGTTTTCATGGTTTTGTTCGCAGAAGATCTTGGGCCGATGAGATAGCGAGTCTCCTCGGTGCCTTTGAGCCTTCAACCAGGCAACACAAGCTACAGTTTTCACCTTTCAGCGAAAAAAGATGAGATCGTATCAGATCAGATGCTCCGGTTTCTTCTAGCTCCGTTCGTCTACCTCACCAGCCGTCCCTTCCCACCCACCGCTGCCACGCAGGGGCAATTCCGTCAATCCACCCACCCTGGGCGCCTATAAGAAGCCCCCTCTCCATTTCTTCAAACTTTAGCTTCAGAGCCCTCCAAAAGAAAAAAATATTATAGGAAATAAAAAATAATTTCCTGGTTAGAATAAACACATTTTTAAAAAAACCAAGAAAAGATTTTCCTCTTCTGTTACATTCCTTCTTCCTTCTCCGGCCACCGGAGCCGTAGCCGAATTGTGCCTCTTCTCCGGCGAGGGGAGAGGGAGAGAGGGGGTGTGAGTTTTGCTCCTTCCGGCGAGTGGTCTCCTCCCCGCGCGGCTGAGGAGATCTCTCGGGACATCGGGGTTGGGGCGGCGTGCATGATGGGGTTCTCGCTCACGCCGATGAAGATCTCCACGAGGCTTCTGTGGAGCACCAGCTTCTTCCGCCACAAGATCGCCGCCACCATCGCGTCCTCCTCCTCCTTCTTATAAGATCATCTTCTCCGCCACAGCAATCTGTAAATATATACACATCGAACGCGACAAGCGCGTTTGATTGATTGGATTTTTCTCCCCTCTCCTCACGACAAGTAATTAAGGCGCGCGATCTCGATCTCTAGCGTTGAGAACTTGATCCGCGATGGAGTCCGGCCGGCTCATCTTCAGCACGGCGGGCTCCGGCGCCGGGCAGATGCTCTTCTTGGACTGCGGCGCTGGCGGCGGCGGCGTCGGCGGCGGGGCCATGTTCCATCGAGGTATTAGTCTCATCTAAATCTGTTACTACCAAATTCACGGCGTGGCTCCGTGGCGCGCGATTTCTGTACTGATTGCGGTTGCGATGTGGGAGTGATGAAGGGGCGAGACCGGTGCTCGGCATGGAGGAAGGAGGGCGCGGCGTCAAGCGGCCCTTCTTCACCACCCCCGACGAGCTCCTCGAAGAGGAGTACTACGACGAGCAGCTCCCGGAGAAGAAGCGGCGCCTCACGCCGGAGCAGGTAGATACTCCAGCTAGCTAGCTAAGCTGTAAAGATCGGCGGCGCGCGGTGCTCTGTTCCCGAGTTGTGACGTGACGACTGGATCGATCGGCGTCGGCGTGTGTGTATGTAGGTGCATCTGCTGGAGAGGAGCTTCGAGGAGGAGAACAAGCTGGAGCCGGAGCGGAAGACGGAGCTGGCGCGGAAGCTAGGGCTGCAGCCGCGGCAGGTCGCCGTGTGGTTCCAGAACCGCCGCGCGCGCTGGAAGACCAAGCAGCTCGAGCGCGACTTCGACCGCCTCAAGGCGTCGTTCGACGCCCTCCGCGCCGACCACGACGCCCTCCTCCAGGACAACCACCGCCTCCACTCTCAGGTGAGCTAGCTACGCCCGCCGCCCGCGCCACCGCCCAACCGCGCGTACCCTCGATCCGATTTGGCCGGCCTCCTTGATTCTGACTGAATTCGTGGTGATCTTGTGCCGTCAGGTCATGTCGTTGACCGAGAAGCTGCAAGAGAAGGAGACGACGACCGAGGGCAGCGCCGGCGCGGCCGTTGACGTCCCGGGCTTGCCTGCGGCGGCCGACGTGAAGGTCGCCGTCCCGGACGCCGAGGAACCGGCGCTGGAGGAGGCGGCGGCGGCGTTCGAGGAGCAGCAGGAGCAGCAGGTGAAGGCCGAGGACAGGCTGAGCACGGGCAGCGGCGGGAGCGCGGTGGTGGACACGGACGCGCAACTGGTGGTCGGGTGCGGCCGGCAGCATCTCGCCGCCGTGGACAGCAGCGTGGAGTCGTACTTCCCGGGCGGCGACGAGTACCACGACTGCGTGATGGGCCCCATGGACCACGCCGCGGGGGGCATCCAGTCGGAGGAGGACGACGGCGCCGGCAGCGACGAGGGCTGCAGCTACTACGCCGACGACGCCGGCGTCCTCTTCGCCGACCACGGCCACCACCACCACCACCAACACGCGGACGACGACGAGGAGGACGGCCAGCAGATCAGCTGCTGGTGGATGTGGAACTAGATTTCTCGCGCGCGCGCGTCGTCGTGCATTCAATTCTCGTGTTAAAAAAATCGTTCTCTTTTTCATTTTTCCGCTTCTTTGTCTGTAATGTTGAGTTTCGATCGGCTATGAGAAGGAAGGAGGTGTATGCATGTGCATGGTATGGTAGGGTAACACATCGGTGAATCAAATCTGTCATGGTGATGTACGAGAATTGAAGAACATGGGGGTAGCAATAAGTGCATGGAGGCAAGTACTCTTTTCAATGGCACATACCAAATCATGTCGTCGAATTGAGATTTTTATTAGTCTTGAATTCTTCTTGAACATGTCGTCTCTGATTACTGTAGCATATATGGTGGTTGATGATTGACGTACTCCGCCTCCGGTTGAACTGTAGTGTGACTAGGGAGAGCCGAGAGGCGATCATCCTCGTTTAAATCAAAAAGTTTCTGAAGCTTGAATTTTAAGCTGGATGCATATTTATATGTCTAGAAACTGTAGAACAAACATAACTGAAAGTCAGACCATCTGAAATATATATAATTAAGTGATATTCCAGTTTTTGTGAAGTACAGTACATATCAGTCTTGGCATGTCACTGAGTATACCTTAATTAACGCTGAACAAACCACTCATGTACTCCAGTTTAGGGTGTGTTTAGTTCACGCCAAAATTAAAAGTTTGGTTGAAATTGAAACGATGTGACAAAAAAGTTAAAAGTTTTTGTGTGTAAAAAAGTTTTGATGTGATGAAAAAGTTGAAAGTTTAAAGAAAAAGTTTGAAACTAAACTCAGACTTCAAACTTTTTCTTCAAACTTCCAACTTTTCCATCACATCAAAATTTTCCTACACACAAACTTCCAAATTTTCCATCACATCGTTCCAATTTCAACCAAACTTTTAATTTTAACATGAACTAAACAGTGCATATGACGGATTAATTAACTAGTGATCGATTGGGACATGACGGTGCGCGCTACTGCTAGCTATAGTACAGTATGTACTGCGTAGTACTCACTCCGTCCTCTTATCTAATACTCTCCCCGTTTCACAATGTAAGTCATTCTAGCATTTCCCACATTTATATTGATGTTAATGAATTTAGATAGGTATATATATATATATATATATATATATATATATATATATATATATAGATTCATTAACATCAATATGAATGTGAAAAATGCTAAAATGACTTACATTGTGAAACGGAGGAAGTATAAGGGATTTTGACTTTTTCTTACATTGTTTGGCCACTCATCTTATTCAAAATAATTTTAGAATTATTATTTATTTTTTACTTACTTTATTATCCAAAGTACTTTAAGCACAACTTTTTATTTTTTATATTTACACAAATTTTTTGAATAAGACAAGTGGTCAAACGGTGTAAGTAAAATATCAAAATCATTTATATTAGAGGACGGAGGGAGTATAGTAGAAGATTGCACTGGTAGTACTCTGGTATGTAGCCACATAGGAGTTACATTAGCAGCCGAAAGTTTCACCGTTATTGACTTATTGTTGCACAGTGTTCTTCTTCCGTGCATGATTACATCGAAGACACAAGCACACCTACCACGAGTGCGTTATCTAACACATATTAAAAGAGACGAAGACTAGTGAAATATCTCTAAGGGTGCGCTCTTTTCAGTTTATAGGATTAGATTTTTCTCGTTTTTCGTTAGCATGTTTTTTAAACTGCTAAATGGTATATTTCGTACGAAAACTTTCTATAAAGAAGTTATAAAAAAAATCCGACAAATTTATTCTTTAAAAAATTATATATTAATACTTAATTAATCATATGCTAATTGCATTTCTCGTTTTACGTGCGGCTAAACTGCCTACCGCCACTGCTGAAACGATCGCACCCTAAGTTCAGTAAATTCCTATAGAATTGAAGTGCACTAGCATGTGTTTAATAGTACATACTAAGTTTTTCTTACTAATACCGATATATCATGCTTTGAATGTGTCTAGATTTTTTATAACTTCCATCTATCTAAATTAAACGGTTAAGATGATTATTAGTAAAAGTTTAGTAAGAAAAATTTAGTACCTGTAGCATTGCTCTAAAGTAAATTCGCACACCGTAAAAGGTTAAATTAGAAAGGGCCGGGACATAGCTTAGCATGCCGTTAGTGCTAACACACATAAGCTAGACTAGATTGCTTACGGGAATATGCAGTTTAGCTTTCTTTCCCTTTCTTTTTAGCTAGACACAAATAGAAAGACTGAAGATGGTGGTAAAATTTTCACATTTATTACACAATGTGGACAGCACGACTGACGCAAACGATTGGCCGTCCGTCGTCTGTCTGTCGTTCTTGTTTGGCTGTATACCATCTTCACGTAATTAATGTATGCAAAATAGTAGTAAGTGCATTAGCTAGGAGGCTGAAATGAGAAGTGAACTGACAAGTATTTGTAATCAGACCAAGCTGATAAGATATATCAAGTTTACAATCCACTAGTTTTAAGTATAAATATTGATAAAATCAACTGACACTACTACATAACTTATTTTTCCGTGCAGTCAAATTGATTTTTCCATACGGAGGTTTTCCCCATCTGGAACCCAGCGTCTAGAAAAATGAACATTTTCATGTGCGGGTGACCCAACCGCATGGGATAATCGATTATCCCGTGTGGTTCAATTATATCACCTGCACCGAAATAAAACACGAAAATCATTGTCGAGCCCGCCCGCCTCGCCGCCCGCTCGCCAAGCCTGCCACCGTCGTCGGTGCCGAGCCCGCCACCGTCGTCGGCGTCGAGCCCGCCAACATCATTGCCAGATCTGGGCGGGGAACGTCCGCCGCCGCCGGATCCAGCCGCATCACCGCCTACTCGTTGCTCGCCGCCATTGCCTTGACGCCGTCGCGACGACGGCGTCGTCGTCGAGGGAGCTGAGCGACGACGTGCACGATGAGGACGACGACCAGGAGGAGGTTCCGCCGCCCGCTCGACGCTGCCCCGCTCGCCACCACTCGCCTCCGCTTCGCTGGTCGCCGCCTCGCCTCACGCGCGGAAAGGCCGCCGCCGACGCCCACACGGAAGGAGGGGTGGAGGAGGAGGAGGGGAAAGGATCAGGTAGAGAATAGATATAAGGTAGAGAGAGAGGAGGGTGGTTGAGAGAGAATAAAAGGGAAAAAAAGGAAGAGAGAGGATGCCAAAGTGGGTGGGAGGGAAAGGAGGGAGGTATTTTCCTGTGCGGTCCATTTAAAAAGTCCGCACGCGAAAATCGATTTTTCCGTGCGGTCCTCTTAAGTCGACCGCACGGGATAATCCTCATAATGAGGATTATCCCGTGCGGTCGTATTAAGACGTCCGCATGAGAAAATGCATTTTCCCGTGCGGACGACAACCCAGCACCGGTCCCCCTATTTTTCCGTGCGGTTCTACTCACGGACCGCATGGAAACAAAAGAGTGTGGCGTCTAGAAAAATCTATCCTGTAGTAGTGTGATTTTCTCGCCTTATGATTTTGCTTCATGATTTGTGCCAAGTACATCTTTCCACTGCAAATTTTATTAAGTTTTAATTTAAGGTTTTCACTCAGTTAGGGTCCTAAAACGTTGAACCGGCTCAAACCTTAAGTTTAATGGTATGATCGCTAGCTAAGTGGTCGTAGTCATCAATACATGGCGAAGGTGGTGGCAAGGTAAACTTGCACATTAGTTGTGGATTTAGTGTCCAACGTTGTATACTTATCGGCCATTGGCAGTAAGTGATAGAGTTAAATTGGGTTTGTAAGTTGAGATTTGTACTAGGAGGCAGACGGGCAAGTTGCTAAAGATGACATAGAAGTATGTGCAACGAAGTGGTGACAGAGAAGGAGGTTGCATCGCCGATGTTGCCTTTAGTGTTGACGGCCACAGTGGTAGAGGCGACAATACAACGGAGGCATCACATTTTTGTAAAGCATGAGCAGGAGTGGACACTAAACTCGGCAAAAATAAACATAAGATTTTCTTCTAAAGAAAGATCAGATTTACTATACACGATTATGTATGCAGTCTCAAATAAATATATTGGAGCAAATAAAAAGGCTAAATGGTAGTGCATTGTACTATTATAACTTTTCTTTGAAAACCATAGTACTATTCTAGATCAATACTGCATAAATGCTGGTAAAAAAAAATACACTTTTGGCTCGATCTCATCCAACCAAGCGGAACTATATGTGGCCATTTCCATCCATCCCTCTCGTCTACAACTTTTATTGTTACTAAGGTGATGCATCCCTTTCAGTTCATCATTTCACCATATTGAAGTGATCATCCATAGCCTATTAGTTGGGACTTGGGAGCATACCAAAACTTAGCATGAGTTATTTATGTTGTATACTATAGTCAAAATTAAGCCACAAGCCTAAATACCCGGTTGAATAATTGTCATATGGATTTGACGTGTATTTAGCTAGGGCATGCATGTCCTATGGATAATCTTTTGTTACCTAGAAGAGTTATATTGGTTTGGTCTGAATCTGATGTCACACTAGGAGCTAGTTGCAGTAGTTAAGTCTAGCAGGAACAGCGCAAGAGCCATTTTCCTTGGCCTTGATAGGACATGGGAACATCTTTTGTCTTTTGCAGCCCCACTAATTGGACAAGCATAACCAAGATTCCCCCGTCTCTCCTTGTTGATGGAGATGTTGATGAGAGATTGCAGATACAGAGTGAAGCTAGAAGTGCTTAATCAACCGCTCGTATTGGGAGGTGATCATGTACTTTCAAGTTATAATCGCCTGCCAATTAGTACTCTATCTGTGCCATCATTAGTGGCGCTGATAAAAAAATGAGCTAATCGCGAGCGTCTGATTACTTTGGCGGAGAAAAATCTATCAGGGGACGAGAATATTTGACAGGCCTCGCAATCCAAGCATCTATCGGAGTTGCAATCAATCATGTCAGGGAAAGAAGAAAAAAGGAGAGAAGAAATTCATTTCCTGACGGCGATTGAAAATCGAAGGTGTGGCTACAGTAAAAGGCGTGCGGTTCGGAGATTCAGCCGCGCGCGGCAGATCAGAGCGGGACGGAGCAACACAGCGTTCTCCATGAGATAAGAGTAGAAAAAAGAACACGCGGAGTTATGGCGAGACGGCGATCGATCCCGCTGGTGATAAGCGGCCTGCTTAATTACGCGACGTGTCAACGAGACGAGGAACTCTCGGGGGGAGAAGAACGGATGAGACGAGGTCGGAGGATAGGAACAAAAAAAAAAACACCCAAACGTTGATGGCTTGCGTGCGGTCTCGCTCCGAGCGTGTCGTTGGTGGAGTCGTAATCCCAGCAGCGCAATTTTGGCCGCGTTTGCTTGCGTTGCGCGGTTGCGCCCCCGTCTCGGCCGCGGGGAGGGGATCTTCCGTGGACGCAACCCAATCACCCGACCGTGCTCGTAACGGCCGCATCGCATTGGTGTTTCGTCGCGATCCTAGCGTGGTCGCGCGCGCGGCAGCGAATTTGGGGGGGTGGGGGGTGGGGGGCTGGGTGGAGTAGGCGGCTGGGGCGCGTGGGGGCTGCGTCAAGTGTGCGCCAATGAGGGGGGCGCATCTTGGGCGTCGCTGGTGCGCTTTCCAGGGTTGATCTCCACCCGACTCCTGCTCCGCCATGTTCCGTGTCCGCCAATCGGCGCGCGGATCAAGTCCTCCTCCCTCGCGTGATCGCATCGCCTGCACTACAGCCCCTGAGCTGCGATTCGCTGGCCGATAGGATCGATCGTTTCTGCCACCGACGTCTCTCGCCGTTTCGCCTCGTCTCACGAGTTCACTGCTCCATCGACAGTTCGACACCGTGGGGCTGCTACAGAGGTTTTTTTTTTTTTCGACGAGTACTAAAGTAGTAGTAGCAGTAGAAGAACAGTAGGAGTAGAAGACAAACGGGCCGGAAGTGACTGACTGCCAGTGTGGCCGATCGAGGCCGTTCGGGAGCAGTGGGTACAGCTGGTCCGACGCTTGAACATGGCAGGTTGTTGAGGTACCATGTGGCATGTCTGCAGCACTAGGGATTGCCATGCTTCGAAACGATTTGTCTTGTTTTGCTACTATTGGTATTACTGTATTATTAGTGCAACCCTTTCGTGATCTCACATTGGGCAACCGTTGAGATGGGGAGGATTGGTGGTACCGTGCGTACGATGCGTGGTAGTGGTAGCAATAGTGATCTGCAGTGGTACGTTTAGACCGTTGTGCATGGCTCTCTCGCCACCAGCATTGTGCTCCAGCTGGACAGAGAGAGTGATACTCTCTGCTGATCAGATGCGATTATACGGTTGCAATGTTGCTCCATGTGCCCTGAACCTCCTCCGAGCGAAGAATAAGGAGGACGTGCAAGGAATGTTTCAGGAGTAGTACTAAACTGCATCGCAGCCCAGCCCAGCCTGGCCCCATTTCAGTTGCTGCAAGCCTGCAATCACGGAAACTCCCAGGCCTTCAGGGCCCAAACACATATGGTACTACACGGGCCGCCCGACTTCTCCGGTGGAGAAAATCGTACTACCTGGCCCAAAAGCTTTTGTCGAGAATTTGTGAGGCAACTTAACTTTTATTATTTCTTTCTCTTTTTTCTTTTCGAATTTACAAGTTACAACGATGGCAGATACATACTGTACATACTTACCCACGCAAACATGCCCAATGCAGTTGACAAACAAGCTGGCTTGATGTAAAAGTACGTATGTACGTCAAACGAAACGTTTAATTTATTAGTGACCTGATTCCTTTTAAATGCCATCTGATCTTAGCCATATCTATCGTTGTATCAGCAAAACATATTCATATTTTTCAACGTCGCTATAGCCTAAGCAATAAGCCTCAAAACAAATCCCCACAAAAGGAAGAAACTCCAAAACAGCCAACCACGGCCCCATTTTTTTTTAAAGCATGGAAAGCACGCAACGAACACACCACATATACACGATTAAAACGTAAATGAAAAGAAACGGTACCAGAAAACAAGCGTAGCTCTCGCAGTCTGCCACGTCAAAGAGAGCTAGAGAGGTATAACCAGTAACCACCATTAATTCCACCAACCAAAGCGAGTTCCAATCCACGCTGTCGCTCTCGTCGCGGACGTTGCCCAGAGATCGCTTGGCCGCGCTTATTTAGTCGCCAAATCTTCCAAATCCCAAGCGGCTTAGCAGCATGTCGTTCTCAGCTTCTCATTCTCACGCACCGAGCCAAGCCAAGACAGCGTCTGGCATGGACTTGATCGTCCAGAAACTGTTGCAACACCGGCGACTTACTACCTATTAGCAGAGGGAAAAACTCTTTTGTTCCAGCTGTCGAGACCAATTATTTATAAACAATATTGTTAATCAGTTAATATTACTACTAGTCTAACCCAAATATCCCATTAATCACGTTTCTGTCAGAACTGACAAGAGAGCTTCGAAAGGGATCGAACAGGGACGTCGCTTTTAAGGACGTGTAGTTGCATCAGTTTGTCAAACGAACGAGATAGGCGTGGGATGCGATTGACCTAGCTTTCAGAACTGGTTGTACCGCCAACTTGCGGCTGCGCGCGGACAAACTCTTCTTGTCCAGTAAGAAAGCAAAGGCAAATTAAGCAGCTAGCTGGTTAGCTGCTGCTGCAGTGAAAAGAGGAATTGGGTTTGGAAGAAGCTGCATGCATGGCGGCGGGGGCGACGCTGTCGGTGCTCCTCCTCGTCGCCGGCGTGGTGCTCATGCTCGTGCTGCACGTCGTCGTCGTCTTCTGGGCGCTGCGCCGGGGCGTGTTCCTGCGCGGCGCGTTCCGGGTGGAGGAGCGCCGGGACCAGCGGGCCGCCGGCCTGACGCCCGACGAGATCGCCGTGCTTCCCTGCCACGAGCGCAAGGAAGACGGCGGTGGCGGCGGCGGCGGCGAGTGCGCGGTGTGCCTGGAGGCGTTCCAGGCGGGCGACCGGTGCCGCGTGCTGCCGAGGTGCGAGCACGGGTTCCACGCCCGGTGCGTCGACTCGTGGCTGCGCCAGAGCCGCGTGTGCCCCATCTGCCGCGCCGAGGTGGAAGTGTCCGGCTACGCCGGCAAGCCGGCCGCGGCGGTGGCCGAGGCAAGTCAGGCGACCACGCTGGAGATCGTTACTGAAAGATTGGGAGGCACAGAACGGTAGTGTACTCTAGTGTTTGACTCTTGTTTAAATTTTTACTGGTTGTAAACTTGTAATTAGTAATCCTCGCGTAGTTGCATTTAGGAAATCTTATTGTACAGATCAAATGGGTCATCTGATCAGTTGATCAGCTCAACCATTCTATGAATTCAATTTGATTCATCATGTGGAAGTGGTGCTCCGATCATATCTGTTACACAGGCTACTCGTTACGTATCCAGGTGCTACACTCCAAGTAACTGTACTTGTTATGTTCAGGCGTTCAGCTTACGTTTTTGTCCAGAAAAGAAATGCGTCAGTTAGGGAAACTGAACAGATATGTGCAGATCACGTCTGCGTTTGACCTACCTGAATATGCATTTGCCCCAAAACAACTACCCATCTGCATTGTTATCTGTTACTAATTAATTAATCCAAGCTAGTCATTTCTGTTGATCCCTTGCGTGCCAGGGTTTTATCGGAGAACGAGTCTAGCGAATGAGATGATCGTTAGTCCACTCGGATGCTGGGATCAAATTTCTTTTTAAAAGTCTAGAGGTATCATTCGACTCAAGTTGCAAGTTGCAACTTCTCCCTCTAGCTTGTCCGATGCCACATCGAATCCCACTGAAACGTCAGAAACCGGAGCTCTGAATTCCTCTGTTTCGTCTGTTCTCGTCTTCAGCTGAATCTGATTTTGTTTACAATATGCTGGAGCATATTCCAAAATGCATACAACCATCACCGCGCCGCCGCTGCAACCTGTGTATAACTAATTAAACATGACTGCCAGCTGAAACATTATCCCGCAGCAAATTTTTAAAACCAGAAAGTCGTGCGTTGGACTGATCCTTTGCAAATGATCATCAGTACGTGATGTGAACTGTCTCCCAGAGATGTTAATATCCACAGCTTGTGCATTCTTACAAGCATAACACGTGGACGATATGTTTATTTTTCGCCTGACCTGAGAAAGCTCACCGTCGTTCGAGATCTATTAAGCAAGAGGGTAAACCAAGGAGGATGTGCTTACGCTGTTGGGAAACTCAGCAAGGACTAACTAATACTCCCTTCGTCCCATGATATAATGAATTTTAAGTTTTTGCTTGCGACGTTTGACCACTCGTCTTATTTAAATTTTTTTTAAATTATTATTTATTTTATTTGTGACTTACTTTATTATCTACAGTATTTTAAGCACAACTTTTTGTTTTTTATATTTAAAAAAAATTGAATAAGACGAGTGGTCAAACGTTATGATAAAAACTCAAAATCAGCAAATATTGGTACTTGGTAAATGGTTCAGTTTTCAGATGCCACTAGCATTATTTTAAACCAGTAGTACTTCGGTAGCTAAGCTTGTGATATCACACCTGAACGGCTGAACCTCAAAAGTCAGAACTCGATCAGAAGTCTAAGTCTCATATAGTATATATTTAGGTGTTTTCTCTGTCCTAATTCCTAACTGCTACTGCTCTTCCATTGCTCGAGCCTCGAGGTCTCAAATGTGTGTGAAGTCCATCCGCTTGATTCGGTTGATCGCATGAAAGGAGACAACTCCAACGTCTTCCTCGTCGCCGGCCTCTCGCTGGTGGTCGTCGTCCATGTCCTCGTGCTCCTATGGGCGCTGTGGTGGGGATACGGCCGCTCGCGCCTCGCCCTCGCCCGCGCCCGCGTCGTCGGGCAGCACGACGTGGCGCGCGGCGGCCTCTCGGCGGAACAGGTCGGCGAGCTGCCGTGCCACGTTGTCAAGGAGGGTGCCGGCGAGTGCGCGGTGTGCCTGGAGGCGTTCCGGGCGGGCGACCGGCGCCGGGTGCTGCCGAGGTGCGAGCACGGCTTCCACGCGCAGTGCGTCGACTCGTGGCTGCGCGTGAGCCGCCTGTGCCCCATCTGCCGCGCCGAGGTGGCCGCCAGCCGCGGCAAGGAAGGTGACGCGCCGGTGGCCGAGGCCGCCTCCTTGGAGATCGTCGCCGAACGATAGCCGGCGAGCGTTCTGGCGTTTTGTCACATGTTTCGTCCATTTTTGCAATGTCGGCGACAAAGTACAGGATAATCAGTAACAGTAAGTTTTGTTGTACAAAAGATTGCCCGATTTAACCATTATTCATCGCAATCTCTGGCGTTGTTCAGAGACATCACGCTGACAAGTGACAACTGATATGGAAGAGCACGGGATAGCAGTCATAGCACGCAGCAATGGCGATGGGGATGGAGGAGAGAAAGGATCGATTACTACAGCTACAACCAGGCGGCGTCCTTGATGGGCGTGACGACGGCCTTGGTCTGGAGGTAGTTGCGGAGGCTGTAGACGCCCTTCTCCCTGCCAACGCCGCTCATCTTGTAGCCGCCGAACGGGACGGCCGCGTCGAACACGTCGTAGGTGTTCACCCACACCGTCCCGACCCTCAATGCCCGCGCCAGGGTGTTCGCCGCGTCCAGCCTCTGGGTGAACACCCCCGCCGCCAGCCCGTATGGCGTCGCGTTCGCCCTCCGCACCACCTCCTCCACCGTGCTGCACATTGCACGTAAGGTGTTTGTATAAATTCCAGTTGATAATCTGTCACGGTCAGATGGAATTCGGGGGAATTCTAGTGTTGCAAACCTGAACTTGAGGATGGACTGCACCGGCCCGAATATCTCCTCCTGCGCGATCTTCATTTCGTCCTGCAATAACCGGCAAAACGACATGAACAGATGTTGGGGGAAACTAGGCGAAGGGGTGTGTGAATTGTGATTGCATTACCTCGACGTCTGCAAAGACGGTTGGCTGGATGTAGAACCCCCTGCTGCCCGCCCTGTCGCCGCCGGCCACGAGTGTGGCGCCACTGTCCACGCCCGACTTGACGTACTGCAAGATCTTCTTGAATTGCTCGCCGTCGATCTGATTCAAACAGAGAGGAAATTTTGGGTTACGGGTTGGGTTTTATCGCTGTGTATCTTGAGCAACTGATTTGTTGGTGTACCTGAGGCCCCTGCTCGACGCCTGTCCTGAATGGGTCGCCGACCACACGCTGCAGAGCGCGAGCCCTGGCCTTCTCCACGAACTCGTCGTAGACGCGCTCGTGCACGAACGTGCGTGACCCCGCGCAGCAGCATTGCCCCTGCTCGCCGCACATCGCAGAACATATGACATTTTGTTCAGAGCCCGTTGCTGAAGACGCAATGGCACGCAAAAACGCCGTGCAAATAGCGACACATACCTGGTTGAAGAAGAGCGCGCGGTGCGCAAGCTCGACGGCCTGGTCGACATCGGCGTCATCCATGACGATGAAAGGTGATTTGCCTCCGAGCTCCAGCGTCACCGGCTTAAGGTTGCTCCTTGCGGCCAGCTCAAGCACGATCTTGCCCGTGCCCGTCGAACCGGTGAATGCAAGCTACGCACACGGCCAAAATCCTCAGTAAAATTGTTACAGAAAAGCACCCGTGAGGTTAATCCGATGGTTACCTTGTCGACACCCATGTGGCTGGAGAGAGCGGCGCCGGCGGTCGGACCAAAGCCGGAGACGACGTTGAGAACGCCGTCGGGGAGGCCAGCCTCGTGGAGCAGGCTGGCGACGAAGAGCGCGGAGAGCGGCGTCTGCTCGGCGGTCTTGAGCACGACGGCGTTGCCGCAGGCGAGCGCCGGGCCGACCTTCCAGGCGAACATGAGCAGCGGGAAGTTCCAGGGGATGATCTGCCCGGCCACGCCGATGGGCTCGTGTAGCACCTGCACGTGGTGTGGCCCATCCGCCGGCACGACGAGGCCGTGGATCTTGTCCGCCCACCCGCCGTAGTACCGCATGTACCGCGCCACCATCGGCACCTCCGTCCCCGTCGTCTGCTCCAGCGTCTTCCCGCCGTCCCACGTCTCCAGCGCCGCGATCTCATCGGCGTGCTGCTCGATCAGGTCCGCGAACCGCAGCAACACCCTGCACCGCTCCTGCATGCACACACGCGCAAACTCCTATCATGGCGGTGCACGCACGCACGCCGCCGCACGGCAGCTCGTGGCGACACAGTTGCAACTTACGTAGGCGGTCATCCGCGGCCACGGGCCCTCGTCGAAGGCCCGGCGGGCGGCGGCGACGGCGCGGTTGACGTCCTCCGCGTCGCCCTCGGCCACGCGGGCAATGACATCGCCGGTGCGGGGATCCACCGTCGCGAACGTCTTCCCTGAAGGAGAAAACATGCGTTACGCCTATCGATCGTGAATGTGGACTCGCCGCGGAGGCGTGCTGGCTCGAGTAGCTCGTGTACCAGATGCTGCATCGACGAAGTTGCCATTGATGAGGAGCTTGGTGTACTTCACGTCCACCGGCGGCTGGATCGGCTCCTCAGTGGCTGCGGCGGTGGCAGCGGCGGCCGGTGCAGCGCTGAATCTGTGAAGTGATCCAGGCAAGAAGCCCCGTGCTGAGCCTGTAACCGCAACGCAGAGGGTAGGTAAGTACGTCCAGTGAAATGTGTGTATCACCAGTTGCATGTGTGGTATGATTGCTCTCAAATGCTCCATCAAACGGACTAGCAAACTACAGTAACAATTTTGTTTAAGGAGATAATATTGTAACATAAAAGTTCTATTTTCTTATTATTTTTCGTAAGTACATCTCAATTGGAACAAGGAATAGATTCATGAATTAAGTATTTGTTTGTTGGTGCATGACGGGGGTGTGATCTCCCTCCCAGGAGAGCATCGAACTCGTGAGTCGTGACAGGATGACACTGAAGGTGGACATGATGAGCAGTGGCAAGAAAAAAGGGGGGAAAAGACTGAACTGCTTTTGGTTTATCCGAGTTTTGATAAGGATCCAATTGAAAGCGTCAAAATATCATACACGAGAAAAACAGAACCTCATCTCCACGGCCACTTGGGGAGGAGAAGTCTAACTAACTTTAGTGGCATGACTCACTCATGACGCTACTTACTAGAAACCGAACAAACAGAACAGAAAAGGACAAAGTTCTAGGAAGAAACATTTGAAGACATAAACTAATCTCACTCCATCAGAGACGCTCTCATTGTGCCGAACCGCCGGTCATTTTCATCAGAAAATGAAAGAAAGAAGGTTCTCACCGATTTAACAGAGAAGAACTTACAGTAAATCCCCTAAACACTCATCGCTCAATTCAAGCGACAGAAAATGTAAACCATTTCTCACCAACTCGAGAACACAAGAAAAGATCCAAGCAGAGATCATCACCTGCTCCAAGGATAGCGGAGTCGCCAGTGGAGGAGGCAGCAGAAGGCCTCGCGATGAGGCCGCGAGAGAGGAGGGAGGAAGCAGCCCTCCTTGCCGCCATGATAAGCTGCAGCCTACCTCCCTGTTGGTGTTGGAGCAAACCTTGCGGCGTGACCAGAAATGGAGGAGTGTGTATATATAGGTTTTTCCTTGTTCTCCCCGAGTTGCATTTCAGTGCAGAGAGGGGACTATTTAACAGGCAAGTTGGCGTGAGCTTGCTGCAGGGCTGGAATTTGGCAATGACACATTTGCTGACGACAGGTCAAGATAAGGAAAGAGAAGGGTAGGAAATATTTGGGAAGAGTTAAATGTATCTTTTGCCTTCCATAAAAGAGAATGAGGCTTCACAATCACGGTTTCAAATCAATGAAACTTATGATCAGCCACAATGAAATGAGCTTTCGGAAAACTGGACGATGCAATAACTCTCTGAAGGTAAGTCTGCATTGCTAGTTGTCTGCAACTTGACATTACACTTTGTTTATCAGGCTGTTTTTTTTTCCCCTTTTGTTGCACACGGCAACATGAAAAATTATTCCAGCGGCTGTTATTAGTAAAATCGTTCTCTTCTTATAGCAAGGAATAGAAGTTGTGCAGACAGGATATACATATGTAGATAAGATTCACCGGAACCAACAGCATGACACCCTAGTACGAGAGTGACAGTGCATATGCAAGATTCACGAGAACCAACAGTTTTACGTGCTCCTCTAAGAGGAGTACGACAATATGACAGGACAAGGGATTTTGGTTGCTTCGTAAGAAGAGGAGAGGGAATCCGATTCGGCCACTTCCACAGGATGGAGCAGGCGATAAGCGCTGGCGTACGTTAGACACAGCAACACGCCGATGCTGTCCGTCCCCCACAGCATTCGCGTGAGAATCAAGCACAGGAGAGGGGCATGGCCCCGCTATGTTATCATGTACGTGCATCGCGCTGCTGCATCAGCGGTCCAAATGCAAATCACTGGGCGCGAAAGAAACCAAGGGCAGCTGCCTTACAGTTCAGTCGGCCCGGTTTGCGGCCGTAGGGCAGTGTACCCACTAGGCCACACTACCCACCACACAGCGCGGGCAAATCTAGAACATCATACTATAGTTTCCACCAATGTGTGTGCCAAAAAAAAATATTGTTTCCATCTTCTTGGAAGTTAAAATTTGTATTTGTAATTGTTTGTGCCTGGAGTGGACAGAGGCATTGTTTTGGAAATTGTTCTGATTTAGCTCAATTTTGCAATACTGGGTCCCAATCCCCACAGCCCCACTTATCGAAAGCTCTAAACATGCCATCATAGCTTTCATAAGCCTCTGGGCCAGAAACTCAAAACTCAGGAATTCATCTCTAACTCCTACAGATTTCTAGATCAACCACAGCGCGCGGATTGTAAGAATCAAGGTCGCAGCTTATGCGTGGCCAAGAGGCAGTAGCGCAACCTCAATTAGACAAGACGAAAGGACAACTTATCACAGTATCAGTGAAAATCGAGTGATAATTGGTCACCCATATGGATGCAGACATGCAGCGAGGACCATCAGGGCAAACAAAGCTGGGCCCTGATGATAAAGATACATTGGCTTGTAGCCTAGTCTAGTATGTCTTCAGATGAAAAGAGGCAATAGGCAACGTCCAGGACCTGATCACTAAGAGTTGGCACCTCACTGTTCTACAGCCATCATGGTCGTTGGATAAACTAGATAAGAGCACCATCGAGGCCAAAACTGTGGGCGCCCGAGCACACAGAATCAGATAGTCAAGCCAGTCCTTTCATGGTATCATCATCAATGGGTGTGGACAGTGAAAAAAAATGACCAGACAAAATTGCATAACTAACTTTTGCTCCTTTTTATCCACTAGAAACAGTTATGTGATTATTTAGGCGATGATAGTGCCAGGAACGAATGTAACACATCTACTTGCACAACTAACAATAGCCTGAAGAAACAAAAGACCCATATCAACCGAACACCATAACCATGGCATTGCATAGTTTAAGGCTTTTATCTCAACATCTTGTGAGTGAAAGTGTGATCGGGAAACGGTAAGAACCTGATTTTCATGGGCTCACACCCCTGGATTCTGAATTTCTGATGACTGAATGGGGATGGCATCTTTTCCTCTGATACTTGAAAATGTCCCAACATCCGAAAAATAAGTGCTTTGGGTTCCACTGACAGAATGGTCATTGTGCACCAGTGGATTTGAAAGCTCCATTCCCTGAAGGAAATGATAGCAATAGTCAGACATGAAAAGCAAAAGGATTTTTTATGCTATCTAAACAACATAAAGGGAGGCCAAGGTGATTTACTAACTGAATCTGGACAAACGCTACTTCCAGATTCGTAGCTAGAAGTTAGTTTTTTATGGGACGGATGGAGTAGTGAGTAGTGACTAGTGTGTGCCTAGACAAGTGAAGAGCATACAAAACAAGACATGTAACATAAACCCCATAAAGAGTTTGAGGTTATGTAGCGAACCAACTTTCAATAAGGCAAACGACAAGATGGCTCCAGTTCAAAGCAAGAACTTACTTGGACTGGTGTAAATGCCAGAGTTGATGTTAACCCCGACCTTGACTCACTCCTGTCACAACTCCTTGCCTTGAATCTGGTATCAAGAATAAATATAAAACAAAAGTAATAAGGTAAAAGAGGATCATGTGAAAGGAACAAAACATTTTTAACGCGTTGCAAACAATGAAAGCAAGTATGATGCAGAATAAAGAACGGTTGTGTTCACTACAGAATGTAAAGAGTGACTGAACTCATCATATGATTCATGAGAACAAGGTTTGAACTGCCTGGTAATTTTAGAGAAACATATATAGAAGTGCGGTAAGTGAAAAGAAGGGGAGAAATATCCATCATGTATCCTATGAAAAGAAAATATTTACATAGCAAAGTGGAAAGAAGGGACAACGGAATGTTTCTTTCTGGCTGTTTTTCCTATCAAACATAATGCAGTTTTTGCATTGCGCTAGCATAGCAAACCAGGTTCATAGTTCTCTATATCATCCTATGCCTTATCATTTTAAAAGTAAAATGCCAACAAATAATGACAAACAAAACTGCTCACCGTTTGGCAACCTTAGCAGCAAGTCTGCTTTGGCCAGCTAAGAGACGTAGTTTCCCACTTCCTGCTTGTCCAAGCAAGCCATAACCTTTCCCTAAGCCATCACCTAACAACAGAAAACGAATAGAATAGGCAAAAAGAAAAATTAGATGCCAGATTCAGCCATGCTGAAACTAAACAAAACACCAGTCTGGTGTTCATCCATAGTGTAACTAACCTAATGAGCTCTCCTCCGGCACACCAAACTGCATCCGATTTGCCAGCTTCATCATGTCAGTCTGTGCATATCTGCAAATCAAGTTCCCAGACAAGACAAACAAGTAACATAATCAGATAACTAAACACAGTTTTTTTCATGGGTTTTCACATTTTGATAAAGTCTGAAATAGCTAACCTTTCTTTCATTTTCCGGAGCCGACAACCTCCTCTCTTCTTTTTGGGCATACAATCTGGAACAGGAAGTGGCTTTAGGATCTTCGCAGGTGGTAATTCTTGCAACTTTTCAGTCTTTTTACAGATTTCTTCTAACAAGCTATGCCCAGCTTTTCCAGTTGGATCCCCTCTTATGGAATCAATCCTTGCTGCTAGTGTTGATTTTGCAGATATAATTCTACATGCATGAGTTCTTAAAGATGGAATTGTGCTTTGAAATACTTCAGTTTGTTCAAGATAACCAACACGAAACTGGGATGCTGCAGTAGAAAATCCAGACAGATTTTTCTTCTTTGCACCGAGAAGCTGCAAATTACAAGAGGGCATTTTTGCCAATGCTTCCAAACCACCAGCAGCTCCCATCAGTTTTGAAGCAACAGCACTCCCAACAATTGCAGAAAGGTTTGGTGCGATACATCCCATTCGACTCTATAAAAAATCAAGAACTTTCCTCTTTGCTGCATCAAGAGTAAGAGCTCTATCACATGCTTTGATTGTTTTTACCAAATTCTCTTCAGAAAGAGGCTCCTTGCTAGCTATTGAATCGGTCATCATAATCCACATTATGTCTGCAGATGGCAAAATATCTTTCAAATCAACACAAGTTAAATCCATCTCATTTCCAATCTTCTTGACAATGTGGGCATAATCGATTGGGTGGTGAACGCGAGACTCTAGTAGAGGAAGCTTTTGCTAGTACTTCTCCCGTATGAAATTGTAGATGATAGTGATCTCATTATCGATATCTACTAATAAAGCATTGGAATCAGCAATAAGTTGATGTTCCAAATCTTCTGGCAATATGCTTGTCCCTCTGTGAAGAGCATCTTCAATTTTCTGAGAGTAGACATGTGAAAGTTTCTCAGTACATTGGCCTAACGAAATGAATGACACGATAACCTTCAGAGTTTGAGAACTGATATTACAAGAGATGAAAGAATAGACACATTACTGCTCACAAAATACAATAGTATTACTTTTCAGTACAGTAAATTGAAGAAGTCAACACAATTGTTTCATGAAAAACAAATTGCATATTTGTTTACTTTACACTCTAAGATCCACCCAGAAAACTTTGTTAAAGAACTATTCAGCACGAAAACCAACCGGGAGTGTGGAAAATAGTAGCAGTACGGTTAGTATGACAGGCTCAGTTAAAAGGATCCAGCACATGAAGTTCTTATGTTAAACTGTTTGACTTATGCAGTACTGGGAAACAATGGGCAAACTCATTAGTCTCAGGCAGCCTTAAGCCATATACAGCATGATTATTCTTTTTGAAGAAAGCAAAGAAGAAGGCACACATGCAGGCATGCAGCTTGAATATTACAATTGTAGATTGTAGATAAAAAAAAAATGGGTTGTACACATTCAGTTACTTACTTGCATAATGTCGTTATAACGTTGAGTCTTATGAAGCTCTGAGGCACTGTTAAGATCATCGTGATTAAGAAATTCACAGCAAGGCATGCCACCATCACCATCTTCTTCCATATTTCTTGCCTCTTCATCTTCGCCTTCCTTAAATAGCACCCATAAGTTAAGTGCACCATTAAAACATCACTATAGCATACAATTCATTACATGTAATAGAAATCAACTCACGGGATAGGCTTCATTGTCCGATAACTCATCTAAGTCGGCCAAGAAAGAATCAGGAAGACTGGCCTGAAAATTTGCATTAGTTGGCACCTTTTAGTTAGTTGACACACTATGAAAAACAGAAGAGATGCATAACAGAAAGTTGACTCTGGAAGCATCAACATTGATTGCCACCAGGATAATTGGACAAATGAAAATACATTCATTTAACCATCCCATAACATGATTGCTCTATCAATCCAACAGTGATACTATTCTGATCAATCGTGTGGATCTGTGGAATACACAAGATTATGATATCCATACCTGTGCGCAAGATTCTACACCACAGAAACCTCCCTCCTCTGAAAAAAATATGATATATGAATCTACAAGTATTCCCCACGGGCATAAAAGCCACCAACCTTTCAATTCAAATGGATATTAATTATTAAGAGTTATAGCTCCTAAATTCATCTATCCATAATAAGCTAACATAATACGGTTACTGGGTAGGTCTGAAGTAGAGGAATAGCTACAGTTTCTCCACATAATTTCCATAAATCAGCCATCCTTGACCACACTAGCGAAATCAGCACCCACCACTGAACCAAATTTTGCCACCAAGGTTAATATTAATTCAACAGCATGGAATCTGCAGTAGCCTAAAGTCCTAAACCCCAACCAACGAATTTAAACGTAATCGAAGCGGAATTACGACTCAAGTTCCTCGACTTAAATCGCGATTCAGCGGTAACGCCTCGAAAAAAGAGTACGAGATGCAACCTAGAAAGGGGCATCCGCGATCGGGGGAAGGGTATGATCTACTAGAAGAGGAAATAGCAGCGACCATGCGAGATACGGAAGTGCTTGGAACTCACCATGGCTGGAGGCCGGATCTCCTCGGTGTCGGCGGCGAGAGCACGGGGCGACGCGGGGGCGGGACGGCGGCGAGGGCAGCAGAACGCCGCGACTAGGGCACACCTCCCACGCCGTACGCGCGCACGGCTCCGGCGAGAAAAAGGTTTCGGAGTTCGAACGGTCGGTTTGATTTTGTTTTATTTACAGCTTGTGGAGTACTCCAGTCCTCAAGCAGGTTTAACGGTATAGCCTTGCTACAATTCATTTATAGCCAATCTAATAGCTAATTTATAAAATAGTTGCTTATTATACTATTAATATATGGTACACACAATGTGTCTTAGATTCCGCGCTGCAGCGGGCTACATATCTGTAGCCCACTGCTCTTATCTCTCATCTTTTATCTCACTAGCAATAGTGCCCGTGCGTTGCAATGGGAAAAACACCGTTCGATGATGTGACACTTTGAAAACCTCGAATCGGTAAATATCAAGTTTAATTTGATATATTACCAAATAAGTAGAACCGAGATTAATTTGATAAATTAGCATATGATTTAGAATTTATTTTTCGAGCCTACTTAGGAGTTTATCGAACGGATTTTAATTTAAAAAATCAGAGCACATTGTTTGATCAAATTAGACAGATTCATTTTTATTTTTTTGCCTTTTTTTACCGCGTCCACATAATTGGATTCTTTTTTTTTTGCCTGGCTTTTTCACCAGATTTTTTTCGCCTAGTTTTTTCGCCCTATTTCTTTTTTTTAATCGGACCGATTCTTTTTTTATTTTTTTCGCCCGATTACGTTTTTTTTAAGAATCGGACCAATTCTTTTTTATTTTTTTGCCTTTTTTTCACGGAATTTGATTTTTTTTTTCGCCTGTTTTTTTTCTCCCGGTTTTTTCGCTCGTCCGATTTTTTTCGCTGGTTTATTTACGGACGACGGAAGCACCTTTTTTTTAAGTATAGTAGAGGTAGAGATAGAAATTTTTTAACCGCGTCACATATAATTCCTTTTTCTTTGAAATTGGACATATTTTTTTTATTTTTTTCGCCCTTTTTTTTACCGCGTAGACGGAGTCGGATTCGTTTTTCTTTTCCCTTATTTTCGCCCTTCTTCTAGATCGGACATATTTGTTTTTTCTTTCCTTTTTCCGGTTTTTTCACCCGTGTTTTTTTATCGAACCGATCAGTTTTTTTTTCTTTTTATCGCCTTTTTCATGTTTGGTTTTTATTTTTCTTTTTCCGGTTTTTTTGGATGGGACCGGTCTGGTTTTTTTTCTTTTTATCGCCCTTTTTTTACGTTTGGTTTTTCTTTTTCCGGTTTTTTTCGCCCGTTTTTTTAATCGGACATATTTGGTTTTTTTCCTTTTTCGCCTGGTTTTTTTGACGAACGATGGAAGCACCTCTTATTTTTTAAGTAGTAGAGATTAAAATATGTTTACAGCTGGCTAATAGCCTGCTACCGTACCTGCTCTCATATCGCGAGTCTCGCGACTCCATGTCGCTATGGAGCGTGTAAAAAGAATCGGATACGAGCCCATGTAGTTCGAGCACGAAAACAACAAAAAGTAAGTATGTGGAAGATGAGATGCGGTAGTAACGTATGATTAATTGAGTTTTAATTATTATAAATTTAAAAATAAATTAATCTGATATTTTAGAGCAACTTTCATATAGAAAGTTTTTACACGAAATGCACCGTTTAGCAGTTTAAAAATCATGTCACTGAATCTAAAATTTCATCCAACAATTTTTGGACATTCGAACGCAGCCATACTCTCTCCATCCACAAAAGTTACACAAATTACTTTTGTCACCAAGACCAAAAATAAATTAAATCATCTTAGATGTTATAAAATCAATAAGTGAATGCAAGCATACAACCATAAGTATATAAGTATTTAGATGACTCCTTGATCCTCATCAAATATTTAATTTATCTATTCATTTAAGTTTTAAATGTATAAAGACTATAACTAGAAACAACTTATTTAGAAAAACTCAAATGTGAAATATGTCTAACTTTTATGAATGGAGGGAGTATTCACGTATCGCCCGACTTTTTAAGTTAAAGCTGCCGTAAAACCATGATTTTAATTAAGAAATTGGAGTATTTAGTTTTACTTAGTACTAGTATGTAGTTGTGCTCATTTATACTGATAAAGTAACATAACGTATACTTTAAGGTGTTGTCTTTGAGAAAAAAAAATGATAGTAATATCCATACAATATGCGTTTACCATCTTAATAAAATATTTTTTTAGATTATTTTACTTCACATATCAAGCTTAAACGGGTTAAATCGTAATTCTTCTTTGACAATGTTGGAAGCGTACCGGGATTTATTCCTGTTGGGCTTTCTAGGTCCAGCCACAGCCCATGGTGACAGTAAAACTGGGCAGGTCAACTCTCCTCTTTTTTTTTTTTTAGAACTGCCAGCATCTCTTTCATGATGGGAATAAGTTCACTTGCCGTCCCTCAAATTTACACCGACCATAAAACTAAAATTGTGTACCTCTAAACTATGTAAAACCGTGCATAAAAGGTCCCAAGGCAGTATAGAGACCTGGTTTCGCTGACGTGGCATCCTAGTCAGCAAAAATAATTAAATTTAATATGTGGGGCCCACATGTAAGTGACAGAAAATGGTGTGGGCCCCACATATCTCCTTCTTTCTCTTTTTTCTCCTATCTTCTCTCCTTCTCTCCGGCGCAGCTTTAGATGGGGGAGAGGCAGCCGGTGGAGGCGTTGTAGAGCGGGACAGGCACCGACAAGTTGGCGGAGAGCGCGGCGTCGGAGATGCCGTGGCAGAACGACGAGGATTGGACAGTGGCTGTGGCGGCGGCGGCGTAGCAGGAGGAGTGGCCAAGAGAGTCGTCCAGGCACGGCTCCACGTCCACGGATGTCAGCGCCGAGCGCGAGCACGTGTACGCGGGTCAGCAGCCATGGCGCGCCGCTGCCCATGGCATCCGCCGCTCCCTCCCCCCTCCCCTCCCCCTCCAGCTCAGCTCGCACGCACCTCTCATTGTGCGGAGGGAGAAAGAGGCGGCGACGGGCGGAGGGAGAGGGGCGGAGTTGGAGGCGACGCAGTGGGGCGGAGTCGTCATGGCACGTGGGTGTAGAGTCGGCAACGCCGATGACCGGCGCCGCTGTCAAGCCTGACAACGCGCTGCTCGCGAACCACCTGCTCACAACACCGACGACGAGGATGCGTCGGATGGCTGGTATCCCGACGACCCCACCATCACCGACATGGCTGTGCATCGGCGAGCAGCTCCTCTCATCAGCGAGCCTCCTAGTCTGCTGAAGAATGGCCGAGCTCGCTGTCGCGCCGACCGCCTCCTCTCATCCTCTCCCTCCGCCGCCGTCGTGCCAGCCGCCTATCTCCCCCTCTCCCGCTGTCCCCGCTTCGTCGCCGGCCGCCTCTCTCTCCCTCTCTTGCCGCCTCTGTCCCCACTTTGCCGTCGGTCCCCTCTCCCCCTCTGTCGTCGCGCCCGCTCAAGAAGAGAAAAAGAAAAGAAATGAGAAATGTGGGCATTTTTTCTTACTTACATGTGAGCCCTACGTACTTCTTTTAATTTTTTTCTGACTAGTATACCGTGTCAGCAAAATGTAACGCCCGATTTTCGTTCGGAATTAAAAATTATTTAATAATGCATTTTCTAGAAATTAAATAAAAGTTAAATCAACTTAATCAAGTAAATTATTGAGGGAATTAAAAATTTCCTTTAAAAATTATTGGCCGGGAATATTTTGTAATATTCTTTGTGCCCTAATGTACTCTCCGGAATTTTCCGTGAATTTTCGGAGCTCGAGAAATAGTTTTAATAGCACAAAGATCATTGCATCAATTAAAATAAAAAGAAAAACAATTAAAATCCCCCTTCCTCTCTTTGGGCCATTTTCGGCCCAAGTCTTCATTCCCTCCCGCGGCCCGCGCGCCCCTTTTCTCTCCCTCTCGGGCCGGCCTCCTCCCTCGGCCCGCTCAGCTCTCTCTCTCCCTCAAGTCTGCTTTACCTCCCTCGCCCGTTTTCCCCTCTCTCTCTACCCGACAGGTGGGACCCGAGGCCCCACCTGTCATCTTCTTCCCCAACCTCCCGTCGCCCCAACGGCCGCCATGGCCGCCGGTTTCGCCCCACGACGCTGCGGTTCCCGCGCTTCACCCCGCCCCACGAGCGCGTGAAATCGATCCCCTCCACCTCCTCCACCTTTTCCCCCACTCTCCCCGCGAAAATCGGCGCCGGTTAACCCCTCCACCACCCCACGTCGGCGCCCCACTTCGCCGGCCGATTCCGCCACGTCCAGCCTCGATCCCGCCTTCCCGAGCCCATAAAAAGCACCCCCGTGCTTCCCCTCGTCCATTTCCCCTTGTTTCCCGGGCCCGGTACTCTCTCCCTCGCTCTCCCCATGCCGCTCCCACGCGCCGCCACACTCCGGCGAACTCCGGCCGCCGTTTCCCGTCGCTAGGGTCGCCGCCGCACTGCTTCGCCGCCACCGCCAGCTTTGCCGCCGCCCGGGCAAGCTCGGCCACCGCTCCATTTCCCCTCTCCACCTCCGTAGCGCCGTAGCCACGCGAACCACCTCTCTCCGCCGCCGCCGCCGACTCCAGCCGCGTCGCGCCGCCGCTTCGGTCGACGCCGACCCGCGCCGTTGCCTCCCTCAGTTCCGCAAGGATGAGGAGGACCTCGGCCGCCGCCCCTCTTCGCCGGAAATCCGCCGGAGCTCCTCCTTCCTCGGTCGCCGGTGAGATCCTTCTCATATTGTCGCGGTCGGCCGTCGTTACCGGTCACCACGCACCAGTCCTCCCCTCTCTAACCCCTCCTTTATCTTCCTCAGATCGAGGCCGAGCCCGTCCGCCCCATCCCGAGCGACGCCCGTCGCCGGAGCTCCGTCGCGTCGTCTTCCTGAGGAGCCCCGTCGCCACCGTTCCTTGCCGTCGGCCGCCCCTTTGCCGTCGTGCATCTCGGTGAGCACTCCCCTCCCTCTCCCTTTTCCTCCCCTTCGTCGGCCGCCTCCCGGGCGTCCTCGCGACGCGCTGCTGCCGCCGGTGGCCGTCTGACCGGGTCGCTGCCGCCGCGCTCCGCGCTTCGTGCCCGCGCCATTGCCGGTGGTGCCGGGCAGCCGGTTGCTGCCTCCCCCTTGCCGCCGCCGCGCCTTGGCTCGGCCGGGCCGGCTTCGTGCCGCGCCTGTGCCCCTGGCTGCCGCTC